TCTGATTAACGATGTCCTATATGCTCTGCAGGTGTACCTTATGTCCTTCTACAAAGCCTATTTCTCTATCTTGCAATCTTTTAAAAAATTCCAAAAAGAGTTTCTTTAAGGAGGGACTGGGGTGTAAGGAAAATTAACTGGGTTAATTTTCTTATTCCAAAAAGTTATAAGAGAATTGGCCTCAAATACAGGAGACTAAGCCTTAAAAATATTAGGGCCAATTCTCTTATTCCTTTAAAGAATGATCTTTATTATTTAGGAACCTAGACAAGCTTGATCTAGAGGGCGTTGACAATGGGGATGACAATGGGTCATAACGGGCACATGTAGTGCTTTCCCGTACCGATACCCGTGATATTTGCGGGTACCCGTATGAGTATCGAGTATACGCGGATATCCAACGTGTTTTTAAGTTTAAATATATATTTATATATTTTGTAATAATTAATATATATAAAAGAATTATCACATAGATAATAGAATTTATGTACATGTTAAGTTTATCATTTATATTTTAATCACTAAAATTCATTATAAACTAATAATAAAACACACAATATATAACTATAAAATAATAAAAAAGTATAATATATATTGTCGCGACCCGATTTTCGGTTGGAAGACCGGCCTTGCGACTTAGGGAGAGGCGAACTCGATTTCTACCTCTTCCAATTGATTTGGAGTCGCCAGTACGTTTTTTTGCGGTAAAAACGTAGAAAACTCAAAATATGCCCAATTAGGATAATTTGGTCTTTAATCAAAGATTCTTAGCTCGGGAGTCGATTACAGATTGAGGAAGGTATTAGCACCCCGTCCGCCCGTATTAAAATGGTACCCTCGCTAATAACATGGACTTTTATACCCTTAAAATTATTTATTAAAATTCAGTAAATAAAAACAAAATGTTTTATTTTTTATTGTTGTGCCTGACAAGAGTTTGTCTTGCTTCTACGTATCCTTAGGTGCAATAGGGAAATCAAGGCTATGTAAGGACCCAATTTCTACCCTTGAAATTTTTTCCTTATTTTAATCCAATTTCATACATTTAACTATAATTTATATTTACCGATTGAATGTACTTATTTAAAAAAAATCTCACTTCTCTCATCACCCTCAATCTATGCTCCAAAAGTTACATACAAAATCATGTAACAGAAAAACATAATTCGTATTAATGTAACTTAGTAACTACTGCCTACAATTAGCTATGGGTTTCCAAAATGCCCAGAGCTACATATATCTCGAGTTACTAGTTTCCATGGACAACACCATGTGCAAAATCATATTCATCGTTACAAATAGTTAGTTCAAGTACAACCAATTAGATTACAGAAGAATGAGCAAAGAGACGTTAAAATAAAGGTCTCTAATCTCCTAATCAAAACGCCCACACTCCTTCCACCTACCTGCAATGAGATTAACATTGACCATACACGGAAACACAAAGGAGTAAGTCATTAGCTCAATAAACATCAATGTAAGTTAATCCACATTTAATAAGGTTAAATAACGATCTTAATCAAATACACTTAAAACCATTTTCTTCGTTGATACTTTTGAAAAACCATGCTACATAACTTGAGTTAAAGTCGCTAACCCATTATGGTCGACTAAAACGAGTTTTATTTTCATTGGCACTCCACCAATACATAAACGGTAAATACACCTGACATCATTACAAACATATCCATATATGCTTATAACTAGAAAGTGATTTACGATTCATTTCTTTATTCCGAGTTTTATTTCCATTGGCACTCCACCAATACATAAACGGTAAATGCACCTGACATCATTACAAACATATCCATATATGCTTATAACTACAAAGTGATTTACGATTCATTTCATTATTCCGAGTTTTATTTCCATTGGCACTCCACCAATACATAAACGGTAAATGCACCCGACATCATTACAAACATATACATATATGCTTATAACTACAAAGTGATTTACGATTCATTTTATTATTTCGAGTTTTATTTCCATTGGCACTCCACCAATACATAAACGGTAAATGCACCCGACATCATTACAAACATATCCATATATGCTTATAACTACAAAGTGATTAACGATTCATTTCATTATTCCGAGTTTTATTTCCATTGGCACTCCACCAATACATAAACGGTAAATGCACCCGACATCATTACAAACATATTCATATATGCTTATAACTACAAAGTGATTTACAATTCATTTCATTATTCCGAGTTTTATTTCCATTGGCACTCCACCAATACATAAACGGTAAATGCACCCGACATCATTACAAACATATCCATATATGCTTATAACTACAAAGTGATTTACGATTCATTTCATTATTCCGAGTTTTACTTCTATTGGCACTCCACCAATACATAAACGGTAAATGCACCCGACATCATTACAAACATATTCATATATGCTTATAACTACAAAGTGATTTACGATTCATTTCATTATTCTGAGTTTTATTTCCATTGGCACTCCACCAATACATAAACGGTAAATGCACCCGACATCATTACAAACATATCCATATATGCTTATAACTACAAAGTGATTTACGATTCATTTCATTATTCCGAGTTTTATTTCCATTGGCATTCCACCAATACATAAACGGTAAATTCACTCCTCATCACTACAAACATACCCATATATGCTTGTAACGACTAAGTGATTTACATTACATTTCATTATCCACATCAAAAAATCCACGCATTTTCTATTACAGTGCATAAGTTAAAGACTTATCCTTACCTCGGTGAGTGTTGGGTTTGGTTTTTGGCGACTTCGTAAGTTCCACCGACACTGCCTCCAACTTTAGGATCTTTCCTCATCCCACCATATAACACAATGTTAGTCATTTATTCCAAATATCATATAAACAACTTATATTGCATTATTTAACCATACAAGATATTTAACACATTGTCAATGTTTCTAAACTATTTTCATCATAAGTTTACAACATCTAAAACATACATATTCATCTTCTACCTCTAGCACTTTATCCATTTTCTTCTTTAACCACTTTCTCACTTTAGGGTTTTGGGGTTTTCATGAATCAACCCACAAACCCTCTCCTTTCTTGAAATACTAACTCTACATCAAGACTTTACAAGATAAAATAACATAAAACGAACCATAACTCAAAAGGGTGAGTTTCCAAGGTTTCTCTCATTTTGAGAAGAGATCCAATATACCCAAAACAGTTTCAAAGGGAAGAAGAGAGTTAGAATCAATAGATCTACCTCTTCTTAAGCTTCTAAATGACTCACAAGCCTTCTTGCTCTTGAAAATGCTCTTTTCTCTCACTTCTCACTAGGTTAACCCTCATAAATGTGTGTGGGGCCCCTTATTTAATGTAACAGCGTCAGGTTTTCGCTTAAGCGAGCCCTTTCTCGCTCTAGCGAGAAAATCCCACCTATTTTAAAAACTCAGATCTAACCCTCTCGCTCAAGAGAGGATCCTCTCGCTCAAGCGATAATCTTATAGCCTCGACATGTCCAAAACATCACTTTCCTCGCCTAGGTGAGCCAACCCTCGCTCAGGCGAGAATCCTCCAGTATAGCCCAGGAATTCACCCTTCCAGTTGAGCCTTTCTCGCTCAAACGAGCCAACTCTCGCTCAGGATAGAATCCTCTAGTATAGCCCAAGATTTCACCCTTCCAGTTGAGCCTTTCTCGCCCAAGCGAGAATACCTCGCTCAAGCAAGAATCTCAGAACTGATACTATAATTATTAAATATGTAAATTTGGGGTGTTACAGGCTACGTAGTTCTGGTTCGAAAATTAATTGGTTGGTTTCGTTGATTTGAATGTATCGATTTGGTTGAGTAATAAAATAAATTTTTACTAAAACATTTTTGATATGGAATTAATAGTTTAGAAGCGGCACTGGTTGTAGATCTCCTTCCCATTTTCAGAGAATTTAGAGACAACACGGGCCACAACCTTACTATAAAAATTTCACTGAAATTCGTTGAATAATAGAGTAGTTTTGAAGTTATTTTTTATATGGAATTAATACTTTAGAGAGAGAACTGGTCGTAGACCTCCTTCCCACTTTTAGGGAATTTAGAGACAACACGTGCCATAACCTTATTATAATAATTTCATTTAAAATCATTTGAATAAAATAAATTTCTTTAAAATATTTTATATGTTATTAATAGTTTAGAGACGACACTGGTCGTAGACCTCCTTCCCATTTTCAAGGAATTTAGAGACAACAAGGGTCATAACCTTACTATAAACTCCTTTTAAAACCATTTGAAAAAATAAAATAAATTTATTTAAGATATTTGATATATAATTAATAGTTTAGAGACGACACTAGTCGTAGACCTCCTTCCCATTTTCTGGGAATTTAGAGACAACACGAGTCATAACCTTACTATAAACTCCTTTTAAAATCATTTAAATAAATAACATAAATTTATTTAAGATATTTGATATAGAATTAATAGTTTAGAGATCTCACGGGTCATAACCTTACTATAAAACTCCATCTAAAATCATTTGAATAAATAAAATAAATTTCTTTAAAACATTTGATATGGAATTAATAGTTTAGAGACGACACTTGTCGTAGATCTCCTTCCCATTTTCAGAGAATTTAGAAACAACACGAGCCATAACCTTACTATAAATTCCATTTAAAATCACTTGAATAATAAAATAAATTTCTTTTGAAATATTCGATATGAAATTAATAGTTTAGAGACTGCACTGGTCGTAGACCTCCTTCCCATTTTCAGAGAATTTAGAGAAAACACGGGTCATAACCTTATTATAAAACTCCATTTAAAAGCATTTAAATTTTAAAAATAATTGAGAGATATATTTTTTATGAAAGTGAGAAATAGTTGAAGATTTTTAAATGTTTAAAAGAGGATAGTTTTGTAGATTATAAAAGATAAATAAAGACAAAACAATATAAACCCAAATAAAAGAAATGGTAAGGAATAAACAATAAAAATTTAAAAAAACTAAAAAAAGTAGTGAGAATGATTTGGAAGGGTATCCTAAGGTCCCCATAACTCCACGGCTGAAAACCAAAAGGGGACCCTAAATCCTATTCCTCTCATTTCTCTCATCTCTCTTACAAGGTGGCGGCGGTAGCGGCAGGAGATGGCGGCATCGGTTTGGAATTGGTCCAACTAACCAAAACCTCTTCTTCCCCGTTCCACTTCTTAATGATTCAAAGGGAATCGAATCCCTAAATTATCTCCTTCATCCTCTTCTTTTCCGGCAGCGGCAGCAACAAAAGGGATGACGGCAAGTCGCCGATCCGGAGACTACATCTCTTCTCCTCTATCTCGTTTCTCCTTAGCGACGGTGGTGCTCTCTCCGGTGACGGTTTCGGTAGCAACGACTTCTTTGGTCTGGGTGTGAAGGACGACCCATCATGGTGATTTCTGGGTCCAACGAGGCGCATTAGCATCAACACCATCTCAAAGTTGTCATTTCGTCTTTGAAGCGATCGATTCGAGGCGAGAGCACACGACTTTGGCTTTTGAAGATAGAGGAAAGGTGAAGAGAGTCACCCTTTCAAAGTGGTAGCCTCTGACCACGGCGGTGACGCGTGAGGTAGCTTCTATCTCTTCCATTTCATTGTCCTTTTTACTACCCGTGGCTAAGTTGTATCCTTTAGGTGTCAGCTTTGCGTTTCCGATGAATCTTATTTCTGTTTCATGAAGCCCTTCTCAATTTCCCTTTTTTATGCTCACTGCCTATGCTCTTTTCTGGGTCGGTATGGTATCAGTGATTGATATGTTACCCCCTGATTGCTTTTTTGTGTATATGGGTGATATGTATGTGCGGTATGCTATGTTCTCTGACTGTGTTGTTGATGGAATTGTGTGAAGGTATATATCAAATGCCGATGTATATCCCCTTTGTTATGAGATGTTGTGTATGAGAGATTTTATCTTTGGATGGTTGTGTATATGAGAGGTGTTTATCTCTATTGTGTTTCTGATATCAAGATGAGTAGCTAAACGAATTGTCCCTTTTCTGATTGTCGTGTGCTCTTTATATATGCTTGAAGCTGGTTGTAGTGATTTGTAACATCCCTTGGGCTGCCAAGTGAGAAACGTACCAAAGCCTGATTATTCCCTTTCAACACTAATCATAAAACAAAACCACCAATTATGTGATTATTGCTAGTGTAACTGAAATCCCTGACTTTATGGCTTGCATTAGTGGTCTGAAGCTGGAATGACTAACTCTTGGTTTGCTTTTTTGATTTCAAGGCCATCAATGCTGCTTAATGTTTATGATTGTAACTAAAAATGCATTTTTGATATGATTAATTGCTGTCCTTTGACCTTTTGCTCACGGCTGTTTATTTTCCTTTGAATTAACTCCATAATTGCTTTGTTAGTGCATTTTAGTTGTCTGTTTTGAAATCTTTGGTATCATGTGATCATTCTGATTGCTCTACTAATGTGTAGCTTAAAGTGATATGCCATAAGACAATGACTCTTGGTTGACTCCTCTTTCCTTTGGAATTAATTGTAATATGCTCATTACTCCTGATACCTGTGCTGACCAGGAAGATGTGTGACCCTTGGGAAGATTGTTCTATCATTACATAAGTGTCTCATAATGTGAATGTTTGTAAGGAAAATGTCTGCATTAAGGCCTTATTCAGTTTTGCCTTTCTAATAGCTTTCAAACTTCTTTTTGTCTTAGGATTTTCTGTCTTCATTGGCTTGAAAGCATCTACTTATGGTTTGTGATTCATTGGAGTTCCATTTCATGGAAGGTTTCATGAGAATGTTGATCATATCATATAGAAGCATGGGATGAAGTGTTATGCTTATGCTTTTGAAGAGCAACAACGAAATTTTTAATATGTTTATCATAGAGACCCTTGGAACTGAGGAAAAATCAACATAATGGCTGTTTTGTCCTCATACTTTGAAAGTTGGTGGTTCTGTGGGAGCTTAGTGCCAAAAGCTAATAAAATTGGTTGCTTCCCAAATGAAGTTGTGGTTTGAAGCTGAAATGCCAAATACATTACAGCTCCATTTGTTGCCACAGCCGCAGCAGGCACATTATTTAGTGGAGGTTGTTGTTGATTGTTAGGTATAGTGGTTGGTACTATAAGTATTAGACTCCCAAAGAAGGACAATCAAGTAGAACCAATTTTGAATGAATCTGCAGTCTATCGGAATGTATAACCATGTTATGGCATATAAATATTTGCAGCTATCTTGTAGTTTTTTTTTATTTTCTGTAAGTTGATAATGAAATTTTTTATGCTTATTAACTAGGCCGGAAAAAATTGAGTGTTCACATATATATAATATTTAATTAAAAAATAAATTAATAAATATGCGGTACCCGCATGGCGGGTATCATAATACTCGTTTCCACCCATATGTTATTTTGTGTGTGCCTATTGCTGGTATTTTAGCGAGTACCCACGAGCCGAGTTTTTTTGTCATCCCTACTTAACAATACTTATTGGTTTTGGAAAAATATAGAAAGAAGGTGGGGGATGGGAAGAACACAAGCTTCTAACATGGTATGTGGTTAGATTTCAATCAACTCGAAATCAAGTATAATAGATAGACTACTCAACCTAAGTAGAGTGGGGAGTGGAAGTGGTTCCTATCTTGGAGAATAACTTCTTTCGTTTGGGAACTCGGATTAATTGTTAATCTCATGCAGAACCTTCAAACTACTACCTTACGAAGAGATATTGGGGACCATTGGGAGTGACCCCACGAAAAAACCAACCATTTTAGTGTCAAATACGCTTACAAGGTTCTTTCACACCAAGTTAACAAAAACGAGGAGGATTACAATTTCTCCAAACTTTTGTGGGAGTCTAAAGTCTCCTCAAAGGTCACTGCCTTCACATGGAGACCTTTTCAAGACAGTTTATCAATCATGGACACTCTACAAAGGAGAAGAATGACATAACTTCAAGGGGGAACTTTTTGTCTTTTTGCAATGAGGAATCTGAAACCTCTCGTCATCTTTTCTAATCTTGCTGGTTCACTTATCTCCTATGGCAAAAGATTTATCGATGCCTTCATTTTAACATTGCCTTCCACCAATACCCGAAAGTAAGCTTCTCAATGCACATGAGCATATCAACCGATAAAAATTATAGTAAATTTTGAGGAATTATCTGACTCTCAACAACTTGGCCTATCTGGCTGGCAAGGAACGATGTTATATTCAATTATTCCAAGGTATCTATCCAACAAATTGTGGAGACTGCGAATGTAAAATCTTGGTTGTAGATTAAAGGGAAGATTGAAAAAGTAATGTCGTACTTTGAGTAGGATAGTAACCCATGCAAAATTTAGCATCTTATTTTACTTAATATTTTCTATAGCTGCATTTTTGTGTTCCTATAAAATCCTTTTGTAACTTCTTTTACCTCTAGCACTTTAATAAAATTATTTGCTGACCAAAAAATATATAGCAAATAATAATTTTGGTATGAATTTAATTGGTATGCTTACCAATGAAAATGAGTTTTACTTTTTTGTGTGAGCTTAATTGTTGGTGCAGCGGAAGCGATCGTTGCGCAGCGTTGGTCACAAACAATCAAATAATGCATAAAACAAATAGAAGAGAAGAAACAAAGAATTTGGTAACGGGGTTCGACAAATTGTGCCTACGTCTCCGGGAGCGCTGAGCGGCTACCAATATATTATTAGAGAATAAGGATTACAAACTCTATCACAACCATGGGCCCAAGTGCTCATGAAGTGTTTCTATTTGGTGCTTATATCTGGTGCACATTACAACAAGGGACCTGAGTCCAATATATAACATTGGTTACTCTACTCTATTCCAATACTAGATGATGTGGGACTAATGTAATAACATATTTCAAGGATTCACAACAATCTCCACCTTGATTGAAATAGATGAATATCTCGCTCCTTAGGAAATCTACACAAGATTCTCCACCTTAGCGAATATCTGACTCCACCTTGCTCAATGCATAACTCTCTCTAACAACTCCACATAAGAGTCTGCTCCCCTTCAGCACAAACATTCTGAGTATCATTGACGATGTTACCAAGAGCCTAGCTCTCCAAACTTTTAATGCACCTTCCCATACCGCCATCTAATGGAACACGCCGCCTAGCCATAAATTTCTAGGAAGTCTTTCGATATATGGAACATCTACACAAAAGTTCACCAACAACCGTCATCTTCAATACTCAGTCAAACTGAACCTTGGAGCTTCCTTGGAAAGCCTCAACCGCTACCACCATTGTCTAGCCTGACAATCATAGTTTAAAAGAATTATCATACTCCACCATAAGGAGTATAACCACAACACACACCTTATTAATGCTAACCAATGCCCGTGCCACACCCTTGCATCCAAGCCAATGCCTATGTCACACCCTGCATGTCTACCAACGTCTGTGTTACACCTTGCATCAAAGTCAATGCTCATGTTACACCCTACATCAAAGTCAGCCAACACCTCTGTGCTTTTGTGGATCTACTGACAATTAATATCCTTCAATATGACGTCCCAGACACGTCATTAGGATATTTCATTTCTCATCTCAAATGAGATCATTCACTCAACAACTGGAGAGATATTGTCAGCACCTGTCTCAGGGTCAAACTTAATATCTGAGTCCCTACCTCCACCTTGATCCAAATCTAGTATATGACCTTCTAGGGTTCTGGATCAACATATATCGCTCCCACCATAGTTTCACCATGTTTTCTTCTCCTTCAACTCATCTCCTTTATCCTTGCATAGTACCTTATATGCACCTTGTCTAACCAACATGTCTTCACACTCTTTGCCTTTATCTAGCACCTGGGTTAAGAGCCATCTACCAATTGGCTCTGATACCAATTGTTGGTGCAGCGGAAGCGATCGTTGTATAGCGTTGGTCACAAGCAATCAAATAATGCATAAAAGAAATGGAAGAGAATAAACAAAGAATTTGGTAACGGGGTTCGACAAATTGTGCCTACGTCATCGAGAGTGTAACACCCTAATTTTTAAGTCTTTAAATTTATAGTGTCAGCCCTGGGATTCTCGCTTGAGCGAGGGATTCTCGCCTGGGCGAGAGAGGCTCACCTAGGAGGGTGAAATCCTGGGCTACACTAAAGGATTCTCGCTTGAGCGAGAGTTGGCTCGCTTGAGCGAGAGAGGTCTCGCCTAAGCGAGAGTTGGCTCGCCTGGGCGGGAGAGGCTCACCTGGGAGGGTGAAATCCTGGGCTATACTGGAGGATTTTCGCCTGAGCGAGAATTGACTCGCCTGGGCGAGAAAAATGATGTTTTTGGACCTTTCGAGGCTGTAAGATCCTCGCTTGAGCGAGAGGATCCTCGCTTGAGTGAGAGGTGTCTCGCCTGGGGGAGAGGGTCAGATCTGAGTTTTTAAAATGGGCGGGATTTTCTTGCTTGAGCAAGAATGAGCTCGCTTAAGCGAGAACCCGACGTTGTTACATTAAATAGGGGACCCCAAACACATTTATGAGGGTTAACCTAGATAGAAGTGAGAGAAGAGAGCATTTTCAATAACAAGGAGGCTTGTGAGTCATTTAGAAGCTTGAGAAGAGGTAAAACTCTTGATTCTAACTCTCTTATTCCCTTTGAAACTTGTTTTGTGTATGTTGGATCTCTTCTCAAAATGAGAGGAACCATGGAAACTCGTCCTTTTGAGTTATGGTTCGTTTTATGTTGTTTTTATCTTGTAAACTCTTGGTTTAGAGTTAGTATTTCGAGAATGGAGAGGAGTTGTGGGTTGATTCATGAAAACCCCAAAACCCTAAAGTGAGAGTGTGGTTAAAGTGGAAAATAGGTGAAATGTTAGAAGTAGAAGATGAGTTTACATCCTAATGTTGAAATATGAGATGAATATGCATGTTTTAAATGGTTGTAAACCCATGATGAAAGTAGTTTAGAATCATTGAAAATATGATAAATATCTTGTATGGTTAAATGATGCAATATGAGTTATTTTTGTGATATTGGAATAAATGACTAACATTTTGTTATATGGTGGGAATGAGGAAAGATCCTAAAGTTGGAAGAGGTGTCAGTGGAACTTCCGAAGTTGCCAAGAACCAAACCCAACACTCACCAAGGTAAGGAGGAGTCTATACATAGCATATTGAAATGGATAATATGTGGATTTTCTGATTGTGTATAATGATAAAGTGATGAATCGCTTAGTTATGGTAAACATATATGGGTATGTTCATGATAATGGAACGCGTGAATTTACGGTTTACGGATTGATGATGTATCAATAAAAAGAAAATATGTTTTTAGCCGACCATAATTGGTTAGCGACTTTGGCTCAAGTTATGTAGCGATGCTTTGGCTCAAGTTATGTAGCAAAACTTTGGCTCAAGTTATGTAGCGATACTTTGGCTCAAGTTATGTAGCGATGCTTTGGCTCAAGCTATGTAGCAAAACTTTGGCTCAAGTTATGTAGCGATACTTTGGATCAAGTTATGTAGCGATGCTTTGGCTCAAGCTATGTAGCAAAACTTTGGCTCAAGTTATGTAGCGATATTTTGGCTCAAGTTATGTAGCGATAATTTGGCTCAAATTATGTAGCGATACTTTGGCTCAAGTTATGTAGCGATACTTTGGCTCAAGTTATGTAGCGATACTTTGGCTCAAGTTAAGTAGCGATACTTTGGCTCAAGTTATGTAGTGAAACTTTGGCTCAACTTATGTAGCGATGCTTTGGCTCAAGCTATGTAGCAAAACTTTGGCTCAAGTAATGTAGCATAAATTAATTTATAAAACAAATGGTTTACTAACCCCTTTGAAATGTGGATTATCTTATAATGGTATTTATTGTTTTGATGACTTACTCCTTTGTATGTTGTGTGTATTTGCCATTGATAATCTCATTGCAGGTAAACAGGGTAGTTGAGGATGCTTGGTTCGAGGCTTTGGGAGCTTAGGACTTTGATCCTCTATTTTTGCTTTTTGTGTTGTAAAATTGCTATTTGGATGATTGTATTCGTAACTGTTTAACTTACTACATTTTTGTGTAATGCGGGATATTAGTAACTATGGGTGTTTTGGAAACCCATAGTTAAACATATGCGGTAATTACCGATGAAAGTTATATATGAATTACGTTTTCCGCAATATGAGATATATGTTAATATAATGTACTATAAATGTTGTTTTATGGAGTGATTATGTGGGAAATTAGAGTATGATGTGGAGTGTATGTATAAAAGGATTAAAATAAAGGAAAAAATTTCAAGGGTAGAATTTGGATCCTTACAATATGGTATCAGAGCATAGTT